CAGTAATTATGAATATAGGAAAGAATCAATAATTATTATAGAAGAAAGAGTAACAAAATTATTAGAACATTTTTCGATTATATTTGAAAATATGATATGAGAAATTAAACATTGAAAGAGAATGAATTAATTTAATAAATTTTTTTAATTTTTCATTCCATAATTAGATTGTATTAATTAGACAAGTGTACTATATTATAAATTGGCCCCTCCGACATGCTTTCATTAGTTATAGGTATTTCTCCCGGTTATTCCCAAAAGCTAATGTTTTCCTGTTACTCTGAATGCTTTAAAATTGGAAATACTTGTTTGTTGCATGCGTCAAGAATTCCATCAATCATGAATAGTTTCAGTATTTTTTAAAACAAATTTAATTTTGGAATCGTCTTGCCATCATTTCCACAGTTAATTAAGCTCATGATGAAACTACCAAGTTATTAATTTCTAACCATTATTTCCACACACAAAAGGTTATCATTATATGTGTGAATCTGAATTCTAACCCATTTTAGAGTTGTACGTATAATTGTTTTCGCCCAAAAGAATATAGTAATGGCACTTTGCAAACTTGGACTAGCTAGTTATGAAATTCAATAATAGCAAGCTTCTAAGCTCGTGTGTAAGTGTATAGAAATAAATGTTAAGACTTAGGAGACTTTTTCCTTCTAATAAAAAGTCCATGGGAGAATAAGATTGGAAGTTTGGAACTCTTCTAGAGTTTGCATGTTAATCCAACACAGAAACCCTCACGGGTTTAGTATTAAATAATCTAATTTACTTTGAACTAATTGTTTGGTTTGTATTTTTATTTTTTTACAATTTATAGTAAAAGTAAAAAAAATCTAAATTAGATAATAATTTTAGTACAATAAAAATCAATGATATAAAAAAATAATGGCAACATGTTGGTGAATATCATCATTAGGTTTAGGTACTGTACGTAGCCACTCACAAAAGCCGGCATTCGAATGGGGAAATATTCATATCACGAATAGTGGGAGCAGTTGATTTACTCTTGTAGTGTTCTTGTATCCCACCTACTATCCGTAATTTGCTACAATTTTGACAAAATATCTATTCAAGCTATTCCTTAAAGTAATCAAGATAAGTCAAAATATCTGAAGAACGGCATAATTTGGCGATTTTTTCAAGCTCAGAATCTCACTGCTTACATTAGCAAAGATTGAGCAGGAGCACAACAAATTTGTCGTTTCTTAACAAAAAGACTAGCACTTTTCAACTGTTTCTTTGATAACACATTAAATAAGAAGACTAATTAGTTCTTAATTTCCATGTTTTATGCATGGATAAGATGATCACGGCCTTATATATTAGAGAAACACGAATATACAATCAGAAATCATACCATATGTTATCGTATATGCATATGGAATTGTCCAAGGGGTTTTTGAACAAGATCAGCTATGGTGAGGGTTATGGCAGCCGGCCTTGTTCAACACCGAAGGGAAAAAGGTCCCGAACACCGGAAAGTTTGTGTTGTCCGCCAGCTCCGAAGAAGAGAAGAGCGGCGGTGGCCACTTTTCCTCGAGCGGGCTGCTCGTTGAAACGGTCAGCAATAAATGTGACATTTTTTGCTCATCCTGATATAGAGGTCTTTTTCTTGAGAGCATTTCAGAATTTTTCAGCTTGAAATTTCGCCGAATTTTTTCATTCCATTTGGCTAAAGTCGTTTTGTACGCCGAATTTTCAGCTTATTAATTTGAGCTTTTGATACGTTGATTTTTCTTTGAAATTGATGTGGATTTTCTTTAACATCATGCTATGTCAAAGAGGTAATGGACTTTGATTGACCCAAAAGCTGTATACTCTAAAATTAAGCTCGATTTCTACGTATGACTTCTTTTTCTTACACTTCTTTCGGTAGTGTCGCTTTTACATGTCATTCCGATATTCTCACTTATTTAATTTTTCCCAACTTTTTCATATGTAAGAGAATGATTAAAGTTATATATATGCTTCTAATAAATTAATAAACATTTGACCTTCATTTCCATTAGTTATGTATTTCTCGTCGCATTTAAGTTTTCCATCTACTCGCATTACGCTATTCTCTATCTTTCTCGCGATTAGCACCTTTACCCTTTTTCGCTCTTGAGTCATTTCAGCTTGTTCAATATGTGTTCTACGTTGTCATTGGCAGTTATTTCTAGGAACCTAAAAAGTGACGTCAATTTGTTTTTCCAAAATAGAATAATTGATTCCACCTTTTCTTTTATTTTTTTCCCCGGAAGAATTGAGGACCGGGTTTCCACCAAGTTTCGTAAGTTTCGTCGTACCGTTGACGCCTTCAAATTCATTTTGGAACTCTGAAGCCTAGAAAACATATATCAATTTCTTAACACATGCTTTTAATTTGTACAATTCTATCAAAATGAAATTGAGAGAATCAAATTTTATGGCAAATTATTCGCACATACCGCTACAACATGATCTAGTAGGGGTTACTTAATCTAGACATATTGTAATTTAGTTTTTCAGACTTTGTCTCTATTATTGCAAAAAAAAAAAAAAGAAATTGAGAAAACCCAGGGTTGTCTAAATACAAAATATGTCATTATAATTACAGGGCTGCACTACCAATATAATCCAATTAGATTTTTGGTTTCTCCATTATTCTTGAATAAAGCCAATTTTCCATGTGCGGTGAGTTAATTGATCTATTTATATAATTTATTGGAAAGTTAATTTGATTAAAGTAACTTAATTTATATATTTTGCAACGATACTGAAATCCATAAAAATTGGTACTTGGTATATTGTTGAGGATGGATAATTGGCCATTTGGCCTTCATTTTCCTATGATTGCTTGGGACGCTGAGTTCCCTCTCCGAATTCCAATTTGGATTAGAGCGATACCGTAAATAGAAAGTAACAACTAATGTTACCGTTTTGAGAAAAAAAAAATCAAATTATAAGTCGGTGATGAGGACCTTGAGTTCTTTTTCTCGGTTCATTTGGAAAATTTTCAGCTTGATTTAATTTATATTAAAATTCTCTTGGGACTGATCAGGCCCTCTTGCTTTAGGGTAAACGAAAGCAAGGAAAAAGGGGGAAAAAAAAAAAAGAACGAGTGACTGATTTGCTTAATTAATAGTTCATATGGAATAATACTAGATGGCTTTTTTTTGTGGCTTCGGAGATCTAAGCATATATAACATGATTAGGGTGGGGTGGTGTTTAGCATTTATAAACAAGTGACAGATCTTTCATAATGTTGATGTGCGATTCATTGTCCCAACAAAAACAACATTCCCTCAATCGACCCTAGACCTCACGGGATTCTTGAGTTGTGAATTTTTCGCCCTCGACAGATTTCAATTTCGCATACTCTTTCCGGCTGTCACAAAATTTTCCCGTATACGATAGACTTTCTTCCCCTTAAATCAAAATATGATCTGATATTGAATACATAAAAAAAAAAAAGAAAAAAAAATCGGATTGAAATCTAGTAAAGTTGACATTTCAAACTTGTAATCTTGTTTGTGGAATTTATTTGGCCTTGTTTGACTTATATATATATATATATATATATATATATATATATATATATATATATCTTTCTTCTTTTTTTTTGATATTATAACCATATAGAAATGATTATGTAGAGATAATTGGGGGAGTAATATTCCATCTATCCACAAAAAAAAAGTCCATATTGAGTATTATGATATGAGCTAATTTTATTACAAATTCAACGATTTAATGTGGCTATTTTATTTTTTGAGACAAAATTAGTACTAATAATAATGAGAGGAACAAATGAGTATTTCTTCCATACACGGTTACAAAAGAGAAATGTACTTCAGACTTCAGAGAACACATGTTACATTATTTATGAACAAGCATAACAAATTGAAAATGCAATATAACGACAATCACTATAGACTTTACAAGAAGTCAAACATACGTTTCGAAGAAAAACATTCCTAGAGATCGGTTCTTGTAATAGGTAAATACAAGTACACAACACCAATAACAAAACGTTCTTTTTTTTTCAATTCAATATACCACGCACACCTTGTAAGACCTTCGGCAATCATAGGAAAATGAAGGCCAAATGGCCAAGAGTCAATAGAGTCAATATATATATATATATAGTAATTCCCTCCAGATAGTTTACTCCAGATAGTCAACTATCTAGCTACCATCGTCTCTCCAGAAACTTCGCCCCCTAATCATGCACTTAATTACGAGCTGCATGAAATGACAATATATTGATTATGGCTGTCATATCAACAATTGAAAGATGAAGATCTTCGAACAAGAAGAAGACGGGAGCCATCACAAATAAAGATGATTTAACATCTCAATGATATTCACATTTTTTACTGTCGATATATAATACTCTATATACTACTCAAACGTACGAGTTTCAAATGTGTGTAACTATCTCAACTCTTTATCTGGTTCCATATATAACTTCGAGTAAATAACCTTGACCAGAAACGGCGGGATCATATTTATTTATAATTATAGATAACTATTTCGTTCTGTAAAACTGTATGAATAACACTTATTTTGTTGTTTTCTTATTAATTTTAAGTTTTTTTAGATCAAAACTGAAGTTTATTTATTTATTAGACATCATCCAACATCATTAGCTAACCATAAAAGGTATGTACCAGAGTTTGAATTTAATCAAGAATGTGTCTACTAATCAATTATTCATTAAATGTCCCAAATCTTTTATTATAAGTGAATCTTCTTGAACTACACCATTCGAAAGTAAACATATATATCTCTAACGGAATAAGATATTTTGGTAATAAACACTACCCAAATAGTCTACCGAGCAAATCTCTCTCAATAGATTATACCACGAAAAGAAAAAAAAAAAAAAAAAAAAAAACCAACTTTGAAATTAACTTTTGGCAGAAAAGTGTCTTCAAAAAATTAAAATTGAACCAAATCATGTTCCCGGGGGTGGAATCTTCCCAATGATTGGAAAGATGTGGGAGAAGGGAACGAGATTGAGAGAACTAATCCTTTTTAACAAGGGAAACAGCCAAACTATGATGCATCCAGGTGAAATTCTCGGCACATTGAGATATGTTCTTTGAGAATCGGCAAAAGAGATCATCCAAAATGCCATCCCCAAAATGGCTCCCAATTAAGCTCCCAAACGCAGCTCTTACGGACCTCGCATGCAATTCCCTTAGGGAACTTGGATCCACGTTCTTAATATCATCATCTTTGTTCCATCGAATCGTTTCGATTCGATTCACTTCAAACGAGCCTTCTTCCTCGATGATCCACCTCATTTCCTCCAGAGTCGGTTTATACATTGGAAGATTGAAGGCATCCAAAGCTTTCTCTTCAATCATTCCTTCCTTCACCATATCATTCAGTGTCGGGTTCAGATAGCAGACATCTCCAGGGGTGTCCGAGGATAAGATGAAGAACATTCTTCCTTGCGACACCAACTCTATCGAACGCACCCGCAAAAATGTCGTGAAATCGGATTTAAATTGTTCCAAATATGCATCATGAACTGCCGGAGGACTAGTCTCCCCTATGAGAATGTTTCCTTTATTAAGTGATAAACCGTCCTCAGTCATTAGTTTGGCTGGAACCTGGTGAAACATAAAAAAAGAAGGGAAAAAAAAAAGAAGTAAATGTTCATTAAATTAAAAACATCAAATTGTTTTTCTTTTCTTATTTAAATATGTATCGTTATTAAGCTGAGAACGAAGTCTTGGTCTTGCGGTAAGAAGTGGATCTTTTAGAGTTCCAGAAATTCATTCCGATCCGGAGTAAGTATCTTATTTAAGTGGGATTTACTATAGTGGATTTTCTTTATAAAAAAAAAAATATATATATATATATATATATATAATGTAATTGAGCTAGTGTGAATTCTGTTTTTCTTGTTTAATGATTTCCTAAGCTTGAAAGAAGAGGTAATCAAAATTTATGGGAATCACCTGAGACAACCAATGGAGGCTTTGACATGAGTGGAAGAAGTGGATGGAGTTGTCCGGAAATAGCCTCCCGTGAAATGAACCGGGCACGGCGGTAACAAAGCATGTTCCGGGCAGTCGGCGGCGTTCATGCTTCTCAAGTTGTTCGTAGAGTTTAGGGAGTGACTTGAAGATCAAGTTGAAATCGTTGTTTACCAGATCATTCAGTAATATCTCAACGGAAGGTAATGCTGGCTCATCGACCTCAACCCTAAAATTATTATCAAGGTTATTATTAGGGTACAATTCCTTGTCAAAGATTTCTATGATACCTTGGTTGGTGGACAATGTATTGGGTCCAGATCCACATCCCAATTCAGCTATCCTTATCCAGCACTTCCCATCTATTAATTTTTTCACGTTAATTCCTTTGCATAAATCTTTGATGTTCCTTTCAAGAATGTGTCTTGACTTCATTGCTACTGTTTTCTGGAAGTGCAATGATTTAATCAGTGATAAATTATAGTAAAATATAATAGTGATTAATGAAAAAAATGCACAATTCTCACTAAATATGTCTATTTATTAATTAAGGGTAAAAGTGTAATTTTAAAGATAAAATAAAATTTTAATGGAAAAGTGGCAAAAAATTAAGAGCCAAAAATACTCCACATCACTCACTATTTTTTCACTATTTTTTTTCACTATACATATTATTTTTCCTTCTGGAATACTCCCTCCATTTCAAAATTTAAGTCTTTTTAGACTTGGCACGTAAATTAAAGAGACAATCATCCAACAATTAATTTATGTGTTGAAAATATCTTTTTTACCCCTCATTAATTACATTGAAACTATAAACAAGACTAAATAAAAATAGATTAGCATCATTTATTGAGGGTAAAGTTGAAAAAATAGTCATTAATTTGCCTAAAATTTGTAAAACGGCCTACATTTTGAAAAATCTCTCCAAACCTAAAACGACTTGCATTTTGAAATGGAGAGAGTATATATGTACATTCCCACAAAAGAAAATATTAATAAAGGAAAGGTTTTGGGTAATGATAAATTTCCCGAAATTATATTTCTAGCTAATTAAACTGCGAAGCGATAGATATGTGACATGTATTGAAGATCAAAAAAATTAAAAAACGTGATCACTTCGTATGTTATTGTATTATTAATTCACTACTAATGCCGCGGATAATTTTGACGTCTGTATTAGAAAAATTGAGAGCGTAGTAGTAAGTAGACCCAAACATGAATTAAAATGAGCATAAAATACCAAATTTTACCTGAAATACTGAGTTTTTTGCGTAGCTTGAACTGTCATCTCCTCCTTTCATGTGTAGAACTTGATGAAGTTCCATTTCTATACCAAGTAGTTTAAAGATTAGGATTTTGGACTTACAGGGGATTTTGGACAAAAATAATACTAGTATATATATAACTTGCAAGCTGATGCAATATCTAGTTTGCTTCTTTTACGAAAGAACTGATGCAATATAATGACTTTTGTTGAGTTCATTTAAAAATCTCAAATAATTTATGGCAATTGGGCTCACCATACTCGCTACATCCACTCCTTTGCTAGCCAATTTTATCAAGTGTATATGTAACGACCAACGACTACTGTTCGCCCTTAAAATCTTCTAATCACCTTTTATCAACAAGAATCGATGATTACTTTAACCCCCCTAAATAACTTTTGGAAGAGACTTCTATTTATTGTCACAGTTTAATTTAAACAAAATGAACTGATCGAAAAGCATGCCATTTGACATCAATTCTATTTTTCTATCTAAATCTTATGTATTTTGAAGATAAAAATGATATAACGGCTTTAAATGTAAACTAGAATCAAAGAAAAGTGTCTACCTTACTGAAGAACCCTTTTAAGGCGAAGTAGAAATATTTGAGAAGGATTTTTCTTCTATTCAAGTATTCTTCCACCAGACCACCCAACTCCCCAAACTCAATCAAGAATTTTTTTTTTTTTTCTTTTGGCTTTCTGAAAAGTTGGAAGACTGAAAAGCAAGAACGATATAAGGGTTCAAAAATTAGTTATTGGTTTTCTTTTCTTCTGGAGAATTTATTTTTGGTGGTAGAAAGACAAATTAGCCAGAGAATGAAAGAAGAAAAGGAAATAAAACGCTTGAATCTTGAAATTGGGAAGATTTGAGAGCTAGATGGAAGATGGTAACCCCTCTAATAGGAAGCGCAAATGATAAAAAAAAGTGATTAAAGACTCTTAGTTGTGCTCTCTATGTTGATTTTTGGTTGCGGTGGCGTGCGTTCTAATAAGACTATGGAGTATATAAACTCATGGAAACTCGAACACACAATTACTTCTTTACTATTTTTTTTTTAAAAAAAAACGATGTATTAGCTGGCTGTAATGAATGCAAAGTGCAAATTGCTCAATTTTCAGGACAAACAAAGAAGTCGACAGTGATCAACTCTAGGAGATTTGTAATGGGTGCACTGCATGTGACCCATACCATTCCATCAGATGTCTCAGATCCGAAATCGATATGTTAACCCTTCTGCCCAAATACAAATTACTCCCTCCATTTCAAAATAAATATCGTTTTAACGAAATGAAGAAATTTTAAAATAAATATAGTTCTCATATTTCAATGCACTTTATGTCTAAAATTTTTAAAATTACTCTCAAAAGAATTAATACTTTGGTGGATATTTTTTTAATAGGGTTGGTTGAGGAGATTCAAGTAATTTTATTATCATATTTAAGAATTTCTTAAACTATGTGCAAAGTGTAGGATGTCATTTATTTTGGAATGGATAGAGTACTATTTTTAGTACATAAATCTCAAAATTCAATGCAAAATTTATATTTTAAGATAGATGTAATATATATTATATTATATATATATATATATATCAATTTTATCATTCGTCGCATGATGTTCAACGTACCTTATAAATGTTATGGTGTAATTAGTTTGTTATTTAGTACGTGGGTTTTGTTCATTATTATTCTGGAGTCTTTCAAATCAGAAAAATCTAATATTGATAATTACAGAGAAGATAGAAAATAATAATTAATATACGAGAATATTATAGGGAAAAAACTACAATGTTGGAACAATTGAGAAATATAGACATGTGCCGTATCTGGTGTCGAAGTCGAATATTTTTTGATAAACAGCATTTTTGTTGTTTTTTTTTTTTTAATCTTTGACGATGTTATAACTTATAAGGTAGGAGGTTTTTGTGCGGGATAGAACCACGTACAGTTGTTCGGGTAAGAATACCGGCTCAAAACCATTGCTTGTTTGAATCTTATTTCATGGTTCTTGTTTGAGAAAATAAATAATATAACAAAAATCAGCATAATCATACAAGTAGATAAAACATAAAATAGAAAGCACAAACGTTTTGGTGGACGTTTCTATCGACATTGTCCATTGTGCCCCGCACGTTGCATCCTTAACCAGCACTTCACATTTAATAATTTTTTCATATTAATTCTTCTACATAACTCTGTGATGCTTCCTTCAAGAACGTGTCTCGACTTCATTGCTACTGTTTTCTGATTTAAAAAATTAAGGAAGGAGAAGTTTTGAGTGATGATAAATTCCGCGAATTATATATCTAGCTAAGCTGCAAAGTTATGGATATGTGTTTGTCAAAGTATATAAGTATTTTGGACTGCTATCTCAAAACCAATTGGCAATGAGTGGGGTGGCCTTGATACTTATATACTGAGTCACTTCTTTTCACGGTGGCGATTTGGGACAGATTATATACCTTAACACCCTCCCTCAAAACCAATTGGTAATGAATGAGGTGGCCTTTGACACTTATATACTGAGTCACTTCTCTTCACGGTGGCGATGTGGGACAGATTATACACCTTAACACCCTCCCTCAAGTCCAATGGTCTTTGAACTTTTTCCCTCAAGTCCAATGGTCTTTGAACTTTTTGCCCAATTGTCTCAAGTCCAATGGTCTTTGAACTTTTAACACCCTCCCTCAAGTCCAATGGTCTTTGAACTTTTTGCCCAATTGCCTCAAGTCCAATGGTCTTTGAACTTTTAACACCCTCCCTCAAGTCCAATGGTCTTTGAACTTTTTTTGGTGGGAGAATATAAAATCACCACAGGCCACCTTCGGCCCAGAATTTCACCAGAGGCCCATCACGTTCTGATACCATGTCAAAGTATATAAGTACTTTGGGCTCCCATCTCAAAACTAATTGGCAGTGAATGGGGTGGTATTTGACACTTATAACTGAGTCACTTCTCTTCATGGTGGTGATGTGGGACAGATTATACACCTTAACAGCGTTGACGATCAAAAATTAAAACAAAAAACCAAACAAACAAAAGTGATCATCACTTTGTATATATGTTAATACTTAACTACTAATGCCACGTAAAATTTTGGCGTCTGTATTTGAAACATTACGAGTATAGTAAAAATTAAACCCAAATATGAATTAAAATGAGAACAAATACCACATTTTACCTGAAATGATGAGTTTTTTGCGTAGCTTCAAATGTCATCTCCTCCTTTCATGTGTAAAACGTGATGCCATTTCTATAGCTAGCTAGTTGTTTAATGATTAATTGGGTTTTTGGACTTACCGGGGATTTTGGACAAAAATAATAGTATATATAGCTTGCAAACTTGAGCAATATCTAGCTTACTTCTTTTACGAAAGAATTACTATGTCAACAAAAAGAATTTCTGTCTAAAAAAATAATCTACATTAATTTAAATTAAATCATAATTCAAACTTAATTCAAACAAAAAGACTCCCTCTGTCAAGTTTGTTTGGACAAAAAATATGAAGTCAAAGGAACAACCGTCTTCATAAATGAAAATATGCTTGCGAAGCCTCAAGCCACGTTTGCACGGCGTCCTAATTATGCCCAGTTTGAACGAATTAATTCTGCCCAGTTTGAACAAGCCATTTGATTTAATTAGCTAGTCATTTGCTAGTTTATCAGGAGTAGAAAAAAGATATATCAAAGATTAATGTTTCGAAATTCTCAGTCCTTCGCAGAAATGAACTAGCCCATTGCTAACTCGTTACTCCCTCCGTTTCAATATAAGCGTCATTCTAGAGTTTGCACACAGTTTAAGAAAATGTTAAATAGGGTAACTAAATTACTAGAATATCCTCAATCAATCCTATTAAAATAAATACTTACCAATAATATTATTTCTTTTGAAGGTATGTTTGAAAATTTTGGACAAAAAACGCATTGGAATCCGAAAACGATACTTATTATGGAATTTTTCTATTTTGCCAAAATAACACTTATTTTAGAATGGAGAGAGTATTATTTAATTAAAAGGAAAAACAAAGCAATCATAATAGATTAGTGTTATTACGTCTTCCGGCCCAAACTATAAGGTATAAATTCAAACTAACTTTAGTGTTAGTAATTTGTACTTTATAATTAGAACTAGAGGGAATATTTATTTTGTCATATTAATAGGTCCGATTACGATTTATGTGCGACAATATCGAGAAATTTCTGTTGGAAGGATAAACTCGAACAAATGTAGTATTGATTAAATAATTTATACACTGAAATTAGAGTTCACAACCCTTTTAATTTTATTGGTGTGTCCCAAATGCTGATCTTGCTAGAAAGTCATCAAATGTTTGAACTTTTCAAAAAAAAATCAAATGGTCGGAAACATATATCGACTGGAATCTTTCTCACAAGCCGGATTCTCGATTTCCGACTTTCTTCATAGTACATCACAAATGCATGAGTGATTTATTTTGTTCCATTACATCTAAATTTGATTGGATTTCTCTTAATATGGTAGACCTCCAGATTGAAGCTAGGATTCAAATGTGGCGAGGATACATAATATGGCAAATTTCAAATGTTTTTTCGCCAAATTTATTTGGTATTGTGTTGAACTTAAAAGTTCATCTTTTTTCTTTTAAGGCATAGTATGATGGTCCTATAGCTACTCATAAATAAGTTGAACTATGAAGACAACAAATCATCATTTTCTTTTAGAAGAAAAAAAAAACTTATATTAATGTTACCACAAACATTAATAAAAGATTGCAAACGAACAGCATAACATATAGATTCATTTGATGAGCAATATTTTAGTTACCCTCTCAGCCCCCGACTCCCCTTGATCACTTGCTTACCTTAAAAGAATTTACCCTTCTCAAAACCTCCTTAGCTCTGTCATTATTCTTGATCACTTGTATTTTCTCCATAAAGTCATCTTTCGTATCGTCTCTGACTTACTCTTCTTCTCCTACAGAATAAAAATTGTATAATAGCCATTAGGTAGGATTAATTCTTATTAAAAATACGCTCCTTTTTTTAAAAAAATCCATGACGGCACTTGACAAGCATTC